CCCTGAGTCCCCTCAGGGAAAAGGGCGGCCTATAAATCTTAATAAAATACTCAAAAAAAAAATACTCAAAATTATAACTGTCTTGATTGCTTATATTATAGAACTCCCAATACCTAGTAAGTATTCAGATATGTAGAAATATATGTATTACATGTCAAAAGCTAACTGAATATTTAAAAAATTATGAATGTCTTTTGACTCAAGCTTGAATCTACATAATATTCTTGGCAACATAAATGCCGTAGCACATTTAGTAATTTAGGACAAGTTCATGTTCAACCATGAAATTTACTGAATGACTTTGAGCAAAGTAAGTAACTATGTCTCAGTGCAGCCTATTTTCCTGTGAGGATAATCTGAGATAGAATTCTGTGTATATTGCCTTGCATTCCTAGAACTGGGAGAGAAAGTAATAATGCTCATGTTACCAATTCTCATGAAAGATGGACAAATCAGTAGTTAATAGAAAAGTCTCAACTTAGATTCTGATTATAAACAAAAGGTTATTTTGCACAAAGATTGTCTGTCTAATTGGATAAGCCATGTGGATGATTTATCTACATTGTCTGTAGTGATGTACTCATGTGCTTCTGTTTCCCCAGATTATGGATCAGGCTGTTATGGTTGGTGCTCCTGTAATTGGGCTGAATGATTCAGGAGGGGCCCGTATTCAAGAAGGAGTGGAATCCTTGGCTGGTTATGCTGACATTTTTCTAGTGAGAAATCTTTCAATTAAATATGTGATGACCCAACAAACCACTATATGTATAGTATTTTCACCTTATAGTTTAGTAACCACTTCAAATATTCAGAATAAAGCACTTAAAGGAAGCATCATTGATTCACTTTCCTTTTCTGCTGTTTTCAGGTTTTATGCAAAGAGGAGGGGTTGATGTCATGATCCAGGGACAAGATGTATATCTTCTTTCTCTTTGTGATTTACTATTAGGGAGAGGTAAGCAGCTTAATGTCCTCCAAATGTTTTGTGCTACAACTCCCATAACAATTTACTATTGCCCGTAGCACTTGGCACTTTATGGTGGTTCAAAACATCTGCAGGCATCAAGTTGCCTATCTTTATGTTACAAAGTTTCAAGTGGCATTGTTAGAAGTGACAAAAGCAGTCTCCTGAAATAAGTACATTACTTAAACATTCATCTAGTTTTGAGAAAGAGAAAGTTATAAAGTATTCTTGGTGATATTGTCTCACTCAGTTGTTTTTGATAATACTGTTAAAAATCCCTCCCCCTTCATCAATATTTTATTTATATGTGAGAATATATTTACATTTATTTTTTCTTTTACTTTTTTAAAAGACAAAAAGGAAACAAAAAAGGAAAGAATAATAGAAATACAGTATCAAATAGACAAAAAATATTGAAATTATATAATTAGTGTTCAATATATTGTTGATGGAAAATTAACCATAATGCAGGGTACATTAAATCATTTTTACAAGAAGTATTTTTGAATCTCTGGGTTGAGTGCCAAAGTCAACTCTTGTTATTTTGTTATTCTTCACTGTTTTATTAAGAATACAAAAAAGTAGAACGAAGAAAAACTGTAAAAACAGGAAAACATTCAGTTTCTAATTTCCCCTTTGTTGTATTCTGTCTGATGTACAATATTCATAAACATTTTTTTGTTTTAGTTCTTTGGTCACTATTTGGCGAATATGGATTGATACTTAATGCATTTTTACTGTTTCCTTTTATTTGTATTCTTCTCCTTATAATTAAGTGCCCAGCAAGAAGGAAATGCCTACACATATAAGCTAGGCCAGAAAAAAGTAAGAATGAATGACCGAATCAAATATCAGTGACAGATGCATTCTTCTTGCTGGGAAAACTGTCAGGAGGCAAAGGGGAAGAAAAGCTACAAGTCTTTTCATTTGCATCTGTCTATAGCAGCTGTCAGATGTAGCATCTGTTATGCATGAAGCAGTCAGAATATGTTGAAGCTTGGCTCATAATAATATGATTTTCTGCAATATTAATTTTAGAAAGGTGGTTGGCTAATATAAAAATGGTTGAAGGTTTGTAACATAAAGATATAAAAGATTATTTCTTTTCTTTTACAGAGAAATGTTTTATGTTCTGGAGTAGTGCCACAGATTTCTCTTATTATGGGTCCTTGTGCAGGAGGCGCTGTATACTCTCCTGCTTTAACAGATTTCACATTTATGGTAAAGGTAAGGATGCAATGTTAATTGCCATTAGCTGTATTCTAAAACATTAAGCCGTGAACTTCAGCAAACATATTGTAGCTTGATTCTTAACAGATATAATCAGGATTCTGCTGTTTAAGTTAGCTGGAGACTTCTAGGCAAATATGCTGAATATGAATGAATAGGAGAACTATAAAATGAAACAAGATTGGCTTTTTACATTTTAAAATCAAGGAAAATTAGTAACAGGATACTATGAGTTTTAGTCCCATCTTAAACAGTGTCGTTGTTAATTGTGAAGTTGTGTCTGACCCATCATGACCTCAGGCCTTCCTGTCCTCTACCATCCCCCCCCCCCGAGTCCATTTAGGCTCACACCAACTGTTTCAGTGACTCCATCCAACTACCTCATTCTCTGTCATCCCCTTCTTCTTTTGCCCTCAGTCTTTCCCAGCATTAGGCTCTTCTCCAGTGAGTCCTTCCTTCTCATTAGGTGGCCAAACAGAAGTGGGTTGCTAATCTTTTTAATACTGGTTCAGGCGCACTTGCGAGCATGTGAGTGTGACGCTTCTGTGCATGTGCAGAAGTGTCCAGGCGGATGGGCAGAGCCTCTCGCCACCGCTACTACCGATTCAGTCGCTCCAGGCCGAATCAGCAGCAGCCCACCTCTGTGGCCAAATATTTGAGTCACTTACTCTCAGCCTAAACCACATAATCTTCCTTCTCCTATTTCCCTTTAACAACCATGGAAACAGGGCTGTTAAGGGAAAATAGCAAAGGAAAGAGTATTATGAATGATTGTCACCGTGAGTTGCTTATGAAGTAAAAATAGTGGGAGAAGAAAAAAAAATTAAAAAAAAATACTTTGAAGCTCAACATTTCCAAACTGTGTTACCGCTTGCCCTCCTATATTTTAGAAACATAAAAAAAATGAGAAAAAGACCTAGTGGTCCATTGACTCTGTCCTTTGATTTTTTTTATTTTCTTCTTAATTTATTATTTTTTAATTTTAATTTTTAATTTTCTTTTTTAAATTTTTGTCACATGATAGATACGTGTTAATTCCAAGCTTGTTTAAACTTAAGTTACTGATGACTGATCCACATTTTGATCTCCACATAGAATCAAAGTTTAAAAGAAACCTTTTGTTGAAGCCAGAAATCTTTTTTAAAAAAATTCTTTTTGAATTTAGCAGATTCTGTAACAGATTCTTTCTGGCAGAACCTCGGGAATGATAAGGCTAGACTGCTTCATGGACTTTAGCAATATCACATTAACATTTTAACATTTGTTGAACATAATGTTTAACATTTTAAACCCTATTTTTCTTTCCAGTATCATTTTATAAACATATTGCAATCTTTCATTTTAGTGCTATGATGCATTTGCTTGGAGCTATAAATTGCCGTTGATTAGAACTTATAGGAAGAATGTTCAAATAGGAAGCATTCAGAAATAACATCTTATCTATAATTTGTTTTATACTTTTTTTGTAGTTTTCAAATATTTTGAGAAATATTTGTTAAAAATTAGAGTTATGTAAACATGTGTTATTTGAATACATATTAATTTTTCCATTAAGTTTTCCTTTTTTGTAGGATACTTGGAATATTGGATTTTGCACCTCATTCTTTTCCATTTGTTTTTTCTAGGATACATCCTATCTATTTATAACTGGTCCTGATGTAGTTAAATCAGTTACCAATGAAGATGTAACTCAGGAACAACTTGGGGGTGCAAAGACACATACTGCAGTATCAGGTCAGAACTGGCTAATTTATTTACCATTGCTAATTATGTGATGTTACAACAGTATAAATTAATGAGTTCTGGAAAAATAAATTTATTCAGGATAAACTAAGATTAAGTGAAGATTCTTCAGAATGTTTGCTTATTTTTTTAATTTGGGCCACTGTATGAATTTTGCTTTGATTATGTATTCATGAATTGCAGCCTTATATGGAAGGGAAGTACACTTTTTTCTCTATACCATGGCATTCGTAAATTTTTAGCTATTTATTTCATACCACTGAGTGGCATCTTTTACTTTCAGTAATGATAAATATTATTTAAAAATTTTCTCTGTGTTGGAGAATCCATTTGAGGCATTTAGAATATTCCTGAATATATCCTTTTATTAGACAATAATATCCATTTATCATGCAATTCATGCCAATATATCCAACTCTTGCCCGCTAGGTTCTGGCAAATGTCATTTGGTTGGAATTCTAGAAAACTTATTCAAAAATTTTTTGGAGCAGTTCAAGAACCTTTGAAGTAATTTGCTTTCAAAATTTATCAAGAGAAATTGTATTTCATGTTTCAGATTAATTTTTAGAGTTTAGAGTTTTAGAGTTTTATTAGTATTTGTAGGCCGCCCTTTTCCCTGAGGGGACTCAGGGCGGTTCACACAAAACCGGGAAGGGGGGGATACAGACATTAAGATAAAAACATGTAATAAAATAGTAGGCAACATACATTCATCATTCGGGAGGGGTAACTAATTTTGGTTGCACATTGCTCTTTGGTCATTGCAGGTATTTTTAAAATAGTATTGTAATTGGTTTTTTGAATTTGAATTTTGTTCTTTTTGTTACAGGGGTTGCACATTGTGCTTTTGAAAATGATATAGACGCTTTGCTCAACCTTAGGGAATTTTTTAATTTCCTACCACTTAGTAACAAGGAGCCAGCTCCTGTCAGAGAATGCCATGACCCTAGGTAAATAAGTACATTTTGCATAAATAAAAATATTCTGACACTCAGAGAAGTGTTGTTTCTTTATTCATTTTGAGAAAGACATTCTTAGGCAGCTCCATTATCTATGTGATGGGATAGGTAACTCCCAGATCCTGTAGGAACTGTTCCAAAGGGATAATGGCCATAAAGCTAAAAGTAGAAACTCAAATTGTTATTTTTACAGCAATAGAACAGTGTGCTTATCATATTGTTGCTGATATGATGTGCCTAACTATTTTATTTTTCCCTCTTAATTCTAGGCTTTTGTTGATAATTGTTTTTTTAGTTCATTTTGTTGGAGAGTTATTGTTAGATAATGGTTGGAAATATAAATATCCAGATTCTCAGTGATATTGGGAGGTTGAATATGTACTAATTTAATAGTTCACATTCAGCTTTGTACAATGATAGATGAATAGTTACTTCATCCTCTCAATAGTCTGAATCAATTATTAAATTTATTGAAATTATTCTTGATTATACTTATGAATTACAGGAATACTTTTTTCTCATGGTATATTGTAAATGTCCTGCTTTTCATTCCATTTCTTTAAAGTAACCGCTTGGTACATGAGTTGGATACAATTGTCCCAATGGAATCGACCAAAGCTTATGACATGTTGGATATTGTACATGCGGTAAGATTTGTGCACCATAATGTGACAGTAGTGTGGAAAAGGGATATGGCCTTTTTTTGCCTTTTCAAATGAACTGGTAGTATAAATTATAGTTGATACGGTGTGATATAAATAAACTATGCTTCTGTCTTGATTTTACTGCATGTATAATATATAGCAAAGGCTATATTAAAGTGCATATTGGCACAACTGAACCACATTGACCTTGTATCATCTAAAACTTTGTGTCTTCCTTTCTCATGAGTTGAATGGAATAATTCAGGTTAAATCTCTTAAATCTTGTCAGCCCCACCTGTACTGTCTCTTATTCTTCAATTTTGGATGTTCCTATAGAAATACATAGGGCTACTTTCCAAAATCAAAGGACGTCAAACTCTACGATAATTGAGACAGTTCCATTTGTAAGCTCATGCTTCTTTCAGGTCTCTGTTGCTGCAAAGGAAATTCCTGATATAGCATTACCTACCATAATTGGAGATTATTTCTCCATTTATTTCTCATATGTAAAAACCAATAAATATATAAATCATTATAAAATATTTTAAAAATCATCATTAAAATTAAAACTATTAAAATCTGAAATATACAAACTACACAGATAGTAAATATCTACTACAATGGAGCCATGTATGAATGTCTCCAGTTCCCTGAGACTCCAAGGCCTGATGACCTAGTTGGGGTTCTAGGTATCATCTGTACCTTCTAAGATAATAATTCAGTGTCCATTCTTTCTTGCAATAATCCTGGCTGTAAAATAAAGAATTTAATTGTGTCCATTTTGGAATATATTAGCATTGTAGGTGTCCCCCCCCCCCAATAAATAAATAAATAAATAAATAAATGAGGGCTATACATATTTCTAGCTGAGTAATTTCACTATATATTTAAAGCATTACTCGGTGTAAAAAAATGGAAGCGTAATGATCACCACAAAATTTAAATTTAACAATTCTGCAATTCCCCCATTTTTTCCTCTGCTTCCTATTCAGATTTGCTAAAGCTCACTTTTATTCCTTGAATACTCTCAAAAATTCATGAAATTTGGTATTGGAGAAGACTCCTGAGAATATCATGGAATGGTCAAGAAAGCAAACAAATGGATCCTAGAAAAATCAGTCCAGAGTTCTCAAGGTTGCAAGTCACAAGGATCAATTATTGCATTTTGGACACATTATGTGAAGACTTAGCTCTCTTGAGAAGTCTATAATACTGGGGAAAGTGGAAAGAAAAGGAAAAAAGGATCACCAGCAGTAAGGTGAATGAACTCAATCATAGTGACAGTGGAAAATCTAAGAGACTAGTTGAAGACAAATTAGTGCTTGCTAAAAGCTGACACTGTTTTGAGAACACTTAATCATATATCATACCTCTCAAAATAGAACTCTGTTAGTATGGAGGAACAAGGTAATTTTAACCCACTGCTATTTTTCAGTGTTTTAAAAATTACAGGAATTTTAAATTGCTAGAAATATTTTAAAATAGAGATGATTAAATACATTTTGAAATAATTATCAAAGTAATAACTGTCAGAAATTTAAGGATTGGTCTTTATAAATGTTTGCTTGTAGTAATGTGTGGAGGAACACTGAGAACAGTATGTTGAAAAATATTTTTAAAATCTTATTTTTCTTGATTCTGAAATCAAGAAAAGCACATTTAATTATTTTGCTGAATATTTGAATCTAATTTATGCAGGTTGTTGATGAGAGAGAATTCTTTGAAATCATGCCTTCCTATGCCAGAAACCTGATTGTTGGATTTGCCAGAATGAATGGAAGAACTGTTGGAATAGTTGGTAACCAGCCTAAAATAGCTTCAGGTATGATTCTGGCAGCTCTGTTTTTCTAAGAAATGAAGTTAAAACTTCCAATTTCTGCAAGCTGGATGGGAAATTGCTCCCAAAATATGTTGGAAATTGTGCTCAGTCCCTATTCTTTCTTCATATAGGCAAGGAGTCACAATGGGATCTTCTTTAACCAGGTCTTTAAAAAAAAAGATAATGTTGATTTCCATCAGACTTCCATTAGTTGTATTTTAGCTGTCTTCTAACATGAATTATCCTTAAAACTATCCTTACCCAAGTTTCTTTTTGCCATAGCTCACGGTTGGTTCAATATTTTCCACATGGTTGTTTAGCATACAGAAATTGTTTTATAGCTTCATTTAATGATCTTTACTAAATATTCTTGGTATTTGACATTTATATTTATGTAATACTGAATGATAAGCAGTCCTGATTTAATGAGTATAGTTGAGCCTGGCAACTCAGTGATTTAGTGAAATAGCAATTGTGCTTATGACCTTACTCCAGTTTCCTTTGCTTGTGAAGATTGGCAATGTGGCCTAATAGTCCTAAAGTTACTTTTTCATTACTGTCATAACTCTGAAAATTTCTAAAAAGGCAGATGCTAAATGAAGACTACCAATATATTAATAATTGAAGCAGAAAAATAATGACACTTTGGTACAAATATTTAGAACATTCGAGTTTCCTAACAAATTATTTTATTCATACACTATGAATAGTAATAGCTAGCTGCTTTTTCTGCCCAATATATTTTATTGGTTTAACTTTGGAAGCAAAGAATGCGTGTTCAGAACCCAGACATTGATAAACCTAATTATTTGGAAATGAATCATAGGAATAGCCTCCAATTATATTAGTCAACATTTCAGTCATTTCACCTACATGCATAATAATAGCTAAAACTGCCAACAAAAACATGAATAAACTTACAAAGCTAAACTAGAGCCAGAATGCTGCTGACAAAATATCTGAAGAAGATAGCAATAGCACTTAGACTTATATACCGTTTCACAGTACTTTACAGCCCTCTAAGCAGTTTAGAGTCATAATATTGCCCAACAACCTGGGTCCTCATTTTATCAACCTTGGAAGGATGGAAGGCTGAGTCAACCTTGAGCCTGATGAATTTGAACTGCCAAAATGCAGGCAGCCGGCAGTCAGCAGAAGTAGCCTGCACTGCATTCTAACCACTGCACCATTGCGACTCAGTGATTCAAAGATCAATACTACTTAGTGTTTGGTACTGAAATAGGATATTTGTTTACATGTTATACACCTAAAATTTAACAGGCTGTGTGTAGAAGTTTGTTTATTCAAATAGTTGTTGGTAAAAAATGTGTATGCTATTCACCAAACTCATTGCTTAAACATTTTTGTAAACAAGCAAACAATTTTTTGCTATGATCACTGACATGGCATTTAAAAAATACTCTGAAATGATATTTTACAATATTTCCCTTCTTTTTTTGAAAATTAGGCTGCTTGGACATAAATTCTTCTGTGAAAGGAGCCCGTTTTGTTCGCTTCTGTGATGCTTTCAACATTCCTATAATCACATTTGTAGATGTGCCTGGATTTTTACCAGGTAAATTATTCTGCATCCCTTGTTATCTAATTCATTTAATTGAATGAGTCGTGTATTTAAGAAAGATTTACCTTTTTTTGTAATTGCAGAAATAAAAACATATTTTAAAATTCATAAGAAGCCTATTGATTCTTTGCTGGAGCAATGTGAAATTTTCTACATTCATAATATAAAAGGATTTGCCTCTTCATTCTTCTGAACTACCATTTTTCATTATTCCATAAAGAAAGAATTAATTTAATATTTGTTATATGTCAAAGATTATCTGTGTACTCTATGAAATAAAAATATATGCTGAATTCTGTTCTAACTTTATAAACTAGTAAAGAATGAGTACCTGCATATAACCTTTCATTTTATTATTGGCATATTTTTACTAAGGCAGAAGAAAAGAGACTGGACTCAATCTCTTTTTATGGGGCAGTGGAAATAGGTATTTTTGTCATGGGGAGTTAAGTGACAAGGGCCTTTATTTAATCAATTTTGGCAGAGGAAAAGGCCCCAATGGATATGGAGGGCTAAGGTGGGTGAAACAAAGACATGCTCATTGTTAAGGTCAAATGTTGCTGGCTGTAGTGACTGGAAGTTTGAATGCTGGAGAAGGAATGGGCAAGAAAGACCAGAATAAAAACAATTAAGAAAGCTCTTAAAATAATTCTGGATAGGAGAGTTCTCTTCCTCACCAGTGTACAGTGAGAAACTCTATGTAAATATCCAGAATTATTTAATAAAGCCTTGCTAATTGTTTTTATTTTTGTGTGTCTCATCCAGTTCTTCACCAGAATCCTAAACTATATTATAACCAGCAACTCTAAGAATTTCTGGTAGGATATTTTATCATATTAACTGATTTTAGAATTAATTTTGCATGTTTTCTAATTCAAAAAGGTAAGAGTGAAATAATAAAGCTGCAAAAAATAATTCAGGAGGGCAGCAGGTCATCCATCCCAGAATTTTAATAACAATATTTATTGAACAAACATATCATTGTTGAATCCTAGATTAAAAGAGCTGCCCAAAAAACTTCCCTTTTGAGTGTAGATCTGTTAATCTTATGTAAAAGTATAGAAATGCAATTATGCATTCTATTTATGTTATAGTAACTTTAATAATAGCTGTGACTTCAACTCCTGTTGTTTTTAGGGACTGCTCAGGAATATGGGGGAATTATACGTCATGGTGCAAAGTTGCTTTTTGCTTTTGCAGAAGCAACTGTGCCAAAAATCACTGTTATCACAAGGAAGGTAGGTTATTTATATAGTTGACTGCTCAACTCACTAAGGCTGGGTGTTACAGAAGTTAAAAGCATTTAATAAAATGTGATTTAAAGTTGCATTTTATTTATTGCCATCTGCTATATTGTTGTGAGAATATGTTAACATAACCAGGGCAGGCTGTTCTTTGATTATCTATCTACTTGTATATATTATTATTGTGCCAATAGAGTTTTATTAGAACATTATAGAGGTGACCTCTCAGGCACGATCTGGAATAGTCATCCCCACACGGCATGTTCTGAAATCTACAGGTACTTCAGTTTCTTCCCATGACCATGGTCCATCTCCAAGACAGTATACTAGGCCTGTATGGGGAATAATAACTTACGAATGAACAGATAACTTTTGCAAGTATGACAAAAAAAATAAGATTTTACAAAAAGCTATTGTGGTAGGAAGAGAGATCACAGGTGAATAAATTGAGAAGTGTCTGATAGTTGTTGAAAACATTTATTTAAATCCTAATGCTACAATGGTAAAAACAAGAATAAAAAGCTGGCTCTGGGATATATGCTGCAAGGAATAGAAGATAGACAAAATAAGACTACCAATATATTTAACTGTAAAACCGGAATTCATTTATTCATATCTGTCATGTACAGAAACAGTATATATATTCTACTGTTATTAAAAAAATGTAACCTATCTCAAAAATATTATCTACATTAGATAAAAATGTTCTTTGTGGTCTTTCTATTTCTATTGTGTCAAATAGTGCATTGGGATAAAAAACTACTGCTTCCTAGTTATAATTCAAGGGTTTAATGCAACAGCATCTTAGTTATATAATCTTAAACTTACTAAATATTTTACTATTGACTTAATTACTAGTGCAGCCACTGTCCTGAGTATTATTCTGTATAGTGTTTCCTTGCTTCATACTTAACAGTATGTCAAATGTATCAGATACCTTGTATATGAAATTTCTTTTGTGAATAGAGGAATGGAAGATGAATGCATTTCATAAAATTGGGGTAAATGGGAGAAATTAATTTAAGTAATATTTGAATAGATATTAGTGAAAATAGTCTTATATAATTTGCCTGTGTGTTCATTTATTTGTACCTAGCCTAAAACAAGGGTTTGAATCATGGCAGTTTGTGATTGTTATCCTATTTCTTATTCTAGGCTTATGGTGGGGCCTACGATGTCATGAGTTCAAAGCATCTACGAGGAGATGCAAATTATGCTTGGCCAACGGCAGAGGTAGCAGTAATGGGCGCTAAGGTAGATATGTTTTTCTGCAGTCTTACAGCAAATTGTCTCTCTTCCCTTTTCCACTTAGACAACTTATCTTCTTTGCATGCGGGAATTAATTGTCCCTGCTGAAGACTTCAAGAAGCTGAATTTTAGTAATTTTATATTATTGTTTGTTATCTTAGGGAGCTGTCCAGATCATTTTTAGAGGAAAAGGGGCACATGCAGAAGCAGAATATGTAGAAAAGTTTGCAAATCCATTTCCCGCTGCAATCAGAGGTATGAATCTTTAAGAATTTTACTGAAAATGTGAAGTTGATTGTGCACTCAAATTTATTTATCATCTTTTTCTTTAGTGAACAAGATCTCATTCTTATAATGGCTGCTTTTCAACTACCTTTTCTTAGCTTAGCATTTATCATTTGTCAATCCTCTATTGAAGGCTTATGATGGCTTCTCCTTCCTTAATAATCCTTTTGAGTATTATATCTAGATGCAGAAATCCCAGGGAACTTAACTACTAGCAATATTTCATTCTGGGATTGACCTGTTAGTTATTCCATGTGTCACAGGATGTTAGGTATCTATAACATCCATTGGACTTTTGCCGAACTCTAGCTACGTCTGCCTTGGCAGGCTTATTATGCAGAAATAATGTGGCTATTGCTTTTGAGTTCTGACTGGAGAGAATAATGGCATCTCCAAATGTTACTGAATTCAGACATTTTTCTAGAATGTGCCAAATGAACTCCTGATATTGCCTAATTGGAAGTCTTAATTAATGCTTATTTGCTTTATTACAGACAGACCAAAATTCAGTGTTATATGAAATGAATTCCCCTTTTTGTACCCTATGACTATCATTAAGTGTTGTACCTTATGATTCTTGACTAATGTATCTTGTCTTTTTACGTACACTGAAAGCATATGCACAAATTCCTTGTGTGTCCAATCACACTTGGCCAATAAAGAATTCTATTCTATTCATTAGTTTGGTAATGTAATCAGAGTGAATAGAGACAGATCATACTTGTGTGATAATAGCAGCTGAATATAGTCAGTCACTATTGCCTTGGTAGTTGTTAAGTAAGGAGTTGTAAGGTAGAACCTTATGCTTTCAAAAAAATGTAATATGACCAGTCATGGGCCCCTCGACAGACCCTCCTCCCCAGAAGAATAATCTTCGCCCATGAGTAATTTTTACACCTTCCTTCAAAGCT